AAAATCTACCGTACAGTTTCGGATTAATTCGACCTTAAACTTCAAAGTCAATTTTCTCAAAACCGTGTTTTGTAACATTCGACATCCGTTTTCTGAGACAACGATATGTCACCGTTTGCTGAAGGAAAAATCGTTCATCACCATTCGAGAGCGGATTTTGAAGCATAAGCAAATCTTCAATAGTAGCCAAAGCTTAAATTTGTTTTTCGTCCTTATATTTTCATTAGTTTTTTCATTACTAAACACATGATATCTTATTATAACACATACATTAGTTTAAGCAGTAAGCATTGTAATAAATAAATTACGTAAGAATTACACAAAAAAAAAAAATGTGCCCATCACCATTTATTGGTATTTTGGCGCGTACTTCTTGTACACTTCAATGTAGTGCGCCTTGGCCTCATCGCTGGGCATACCAGCCTTTTCCTTCCACGAGTTCCACAGCGCTTTCCGTATGGGATCCTCTGGCTCATCGGTATTGCAGTCGCCAACAGTGGCTTGCTTGTAGTAGCCGTAGAACTCCAAGAACTCTTCCTGAGTGGGCTTCTGGGTGAAGCTACGGGCTTTCTCAACAATTTCCTCAAACTAGAAAGGACGAAGAAGAAGAAGTAGACAATTGCAGTACAACATTTAGCGTTACTATAATTAAGTATATAACTTAAACTTACGGTGAGCATATTTTCAGCAGCTGTGTTGTTTAGTTTAACCAAAACGGAATAATACTGTTAGGCATGATTCGCATCGCGTTTTTATATAAAAATATTTATTACAAATAAGAAATGAATGAAAAATTATCGATCGCTTTTGTACACTCACCAATTTTTTTGAGTTAATCAATGCAATGTTTTCTTTTTTTTGAACTGATAGCTTTATCTATCGATTGACTTGATGGCTGACTACTGGTGCAAGTTTAGCTGGTACATATTTTTTATGAGTTTTAGTAATAAATATATATTTTTGCTTATCATTTCTGCAATCTGGTTGACGAATTATATGGCATGTATTGCAATGAAATAGAAGGGGTGAAAACGCAGGTTGCCCCTGGATTTGCAGTGGTTTGAGGAAAAGGAAATTTGCTTTTTACAACATGGATTCCAAACAAACAGTGTCCTGTCAACGCTTAAGAGGTAATTTGACCATTTGAGTCAACGCCGTGGTTTTTGGAAGCTCCATTCGAATATCTTCCAATAGACCGGCTAATCGAAGACGGACGAGTCGGTGTGTTTCAAATTAGGGAAACCATAGCACGCCTAGTATCGGTGTATGCATAATTTTAAAGATATGCCGTTTTTTATCAGCGAACTTTGCACACTTTCATCTACAATTTTTGTATGCAATTATTGGAATAGTCATAAATACAAACATACTCTCATACTAGGGATGTTAATTTGTTCGCTTTTTACGATCGCGGAATTCTCGGGATGTCGTTATCACAATCCCGGGATCTAGGGATTTTGATATTCATTACTTTTCAACAACTTACATCGAAAAAATTGCTTCTATATTGTATGAGAAGCTCTGCTACCATAAAATAAATAATCGGCAAATGGGTGTGAAACCTACTTTTTTATTTAAAGTGTCGGTTTTTTTTTTCTTTTTGGCGTCAGGATTTATTTTAAAGGACTTTGTAATTTCAAAGATATGATTAATTCCGAAAATTATTTAAAAACTTCAAAGCAATGTAGAATAAAAGTATGGGTACCAAATGAAAGAGAATTTTTTTTTAGAATTTAAGTAAATACAATTTTTTGGATTCACAAGGACGAATCGGTAATTTTTTTTAGCAAATAAAGTTAGAAGGACGAAATTCCAGGATGTTATCGAGTTTATATAATTCCTTAACATATAATTTTTTCAAAAACAAATATTGCGAAATTTCAAGAATGAAATTTTAAAAGGCCATTCTGAATAGTTACCAGTCCTTATGCACCAAAAAATTGAGTCCGATTAAATTATACAGAATTTCCTCTTTATTGTGATAACCATACTTCTGCTCTAAGCATATTTCATTGAATTTTTTAAATAATTTTTGAATTACTGACGTCAAAGTGAAATAGTAAAAACGCAATTTTGCCATATTTGGCCCACGGTTTCGCGAATATATTGATTTTTGTGTGTAAAATCTACTATCGCACGGTGTTATATATATAATGAGCTAGCCATTTATAAAAAAATATTAATTTTTAAATACAAAAAAGGAATAAAGACAATACTGGTCAAGAAAAGGAGTTTTTATTATTGCCATCAGTGCGAATTAAAAATTTCGAAAATCCCGGGATTATATGCCAAGAATTCGGAACCTGAAAAAGGTCGGAATCCCGGGATTAACATTCCTACCAATTTTCAATTGCATTTCTACACATACATACATATGCACATATACACCTATTCATTTCAATTCAACGGAACTCTTTAACAAAACTTATCAATTTCAGTTTATTCATACGTACTTCAAAATTTATCTGCTGGCTGATGTGCGATAAACTAAGCACTAAATTTTTAATTGAAATTTTATCATTTTCATTCAGTATACGAGCTTTTTTACTATTGAAAGGAAATTCAATTTACTTACATACTTAGATTATTTAATTCAATTATGCAAACTACTTCGGATATAAATAGGCTAAGCAGCGACTGGAGTACATACATTATTCTAGGCCTTCGCTTGGGAAAAGGTTGCTAAATTGCAGAAAAAGAAAATCATACCCTGAATTACAACTTCTTTTTTTTACAGATCTTTCAAAAAAAAAATCAACTAAAAATGGTTAGTTTCGAGGAAGCTTGCGAGTTGGCAAAGAATTTCACAAAGAAGCCCAGCGATTCGGAATTCTTAGAGTTCTACGGTCTCTTCAAACAGGCCACCGTTGGCGATGTAAACGTTGATAAGCCAGGCATTTTGGATTTGAAAAAGAAGGCAATGTGGGAGGCATGGAGCGCACACAAGGGACTTTCGCAAGAAGCCGCCAAGGAAGCGTACATTAAGGTTTACGAAAAATATGCGCCCACATATGCTTAGAAAGCAAGCTAATTATTTGAGAGTGTATGGCTGCTGTGTGGCCAAGTAAANAAAAAAACAATCAACTAAAAATGGTTAGTTTCGAGGAAGCTTGCGAGTTGGCAAAGAATTTCACAAAGAAGCCCAGCGATTCGGAATTCTTAGAGTTCTACGGTCTCTTCAAACAGGCCACCGTTGGCGATGTAAACGTTGATAAGCCAGGCATTTTGGATTTGAAAAAGAAGGCAATGTGGGAGGCATGGAGCGCACACAAGGGACTTTCGCAAGAAGCCGCCAAGGAAGCGTACATTAAGGTTTACGAAAAATATGCGCCCACATATGCTTAGAAAGCAAGCTAATTATTTGTGAGTGTATGGCTGCTGTGTGGCCAAGTTAAATTTTTATTTTTTTTTTGTAATAAATAAAGCAAAGCGCATAATGATCATTGAGCAAGTTCATTGAAATTGAGTGAAATCGATTTAAATACATCACATACTTTTAGGCACAATAAACTTTATTTAAGCGCATCTAATAAACGTAAACACAAACGCATACACATGCACATCACATTCAAATGGCCGCTTCCGATTGCGGCATGGCGATGACAGCGGCGATCAGCGGTTTCGTTTGGCGCGCTTTCAACAACATTACACGTATTTGCGAGTTGTCTGGCGTTAGTGTTGGTGGTGGTAGTTTATCGCTTGGATCCAAAACTGCTACGATTTCAAAGTCGATTTTTAGTGGCACGCCAGGCAAAATGCTGGGTAGCTGTGTGGAGGAGAGAGTGAATTAAATGCGACAGATTCAATAAAAAATATTTTATTTTAGTAACTTTAAAGCCCCCACCTTTGCTATTGTCTTTGCTATAGTATAGTGACGACGATCAGCATGCAACAGCACCGTCAGATTGGAGGCCATCTTGTAGCTGGACATATTCTGTATAGTTAAATATAAACGAAACTCCGGACCCACGCCACACACCTCTGCTGATAGCTTGACAGGCGCATGTGTTATATCGCCAGAAATAGTGGACTCGGAGGAGTTGATGGCATCGACGGTAGCGCGTGCGGCTACGTAGCGTAAGCGCCAAAGCTCCGCTTGAAAGGCGCCATAGGTTGCTGCAAATGAGAAAATCATACAAAGAATATTTGTGGAGTTTTTCAATGCCTATAACTATTTATTATAAAGTCTTTGTGGTTGCAAGATTTGGTTAGATTACTTAAGGCAAAGCTTAACCTCACTATACCTTACGTAAGACAACCTACAGTATCAAAATCTCACCTACAGCCACCTGATGCCTGCCTCGCGGGAGGCCATAAAGGTGACTTAAAAGAAATGGGTGGTGCTTTAATATAGTGTGGAGGGAGGTGAGAGATGTCTTAACCACAATACGAAGTCCAGGCTTACATAAAATATAAACTTTATTGATGCTTCGAAAACTAGAACAGGGTAAATAGCCTTGCCTTGGGGCCACCGTCAGAAACTGGATGAATACTTCACAGAGCAGTAACTGGGAGATTTAGAGGCACTTCAGGTGAGCAAAACTTATGTTGCCCTTAATCTCAAAAGGTCTAGATAGGTATTTGCTTTCATTGAGTGGATGAGACTGCAGACAACTTGTGATATCGTTGAATGGCCATTCCTTTTTTTATACAACAAACATTGGTCTGTAAACGGCCTACATGACAGCCCCAATTGCTCCTCTTGCGTTGAAATATTTTTTTCTACATCTTGACATGAATTCTTCTTTTAGAAATCCAAGAGACCGTTAAGAGACTTTTTTATCAAGACTATTTCCTTCTAGGGAGTTGTTGTGATAGGTTTGCTGGCTATCGGAAGGGGCTTTCACCAGCAGACCACGTTATCGTCTTTACCGTAATATTTTACTATTGCCTGGCGATATCTGTTATATCTAACGGTTCTCCGGCTGCGTTTTCAAAAATGGCTCCGAGACGAGTTTAATTTTCTCCTATGTTAGCAATTTTCAGTATTTTCGCTGTCTTCTACATATAATCGTTTGGAATTAATATTGGTCATATGGGGCGTCTCTGAGGGCCGATGTCAGAGTTGTTTTACAGAGATGATATACATATCGTAGTTGTTTTCGAAAGAAGCTTTAAGGTTGACATATACAGCAAGATGACCGACAGCCGAAGCCGATCATCTCGCCAGAATCGAAACTACTAGCAACCACCAGCCCATAGAGGTATATTGGTCAGTATTTTTGCCGCCTCACCTTCACCAAACCCAACTTAAGTCGTATTTACCTTAGGAATGTTAGGCTCCACAAACGACTCGCAAATACAAAAGCACTCGAATTAAATGTCTTCAATATCACTTACCTTTGGCATTTTGCTTTTCCCTAGCCGCCTGCTCAACAAAAATCGAGCTTTTCTTGGATTTTTCCAAAATCGTTTCCACCATCACTTTATTCTCGAGATTCCCTTTAAGCGCAAGCCATTCATTTGGATCGAAACCTGCAGTCCGTCTCAAAATTTTTACAAATATTTCACCATCAACGCTAACCATATTCAACACATAATCTTCGTGTCCAGTACGTCCGAAGCACATTGCACCGATTGTAGAAACCATGTGGAACTCATTAACTAAATATCGTTGTAGGTACAGTTGCACCAAGCCACCGTCGAGTGCCACACAACAAAGTGTGATGCCCAAATGTGGCAAACTAATTGGAATCATACACATCGGTAGTGCCGAAAGTTTATTCACATACAATTGCTTGCCCTTCTTCGAATAGCAAACGAGTCGGCAATCCATTGCGCACACGGTAATCGTTTGATCCACCGGCAACAGCATTAAACCGGTAAATGGATGTGAAATTTTGAATATTTCTTGACCCTCCTTGATGGATTTCCGCAGCAGGTAAACGCCGCCATAGCGTGTGGCAACCACGATGCGAAAATCCGTCTCAAATGTGCCATGCACAGCTATCATTGATGGGGCCGTCTCATAGGCGCAAGTCTTTGCCTGATAGATTAAACCGAAACTTTGTGGTTCCAGCACCAGAATATCACCATTATCGGTGGCAATGACCAAATGTGAGGGTGGATTCGCATCGCTGGATATTCGCTCCAGGCATGCCATGGCAACTATGTTCGCATAACGCATTACCGTTGCTTCTGCATACTTCATAATGAAGTCCTGTGGGTGGGAGAGAGAGAGCGGTGTTGTTTTCGGAGTAGTAAAAAATAGTAGTTAATAGGGTGGTACATTACATTTTGTTCCTCTTGTGGCAGTTGTATTAGCTTTTGTGACTTTCGCGACATTTTGGGACGTTCAATGGTCTTCAGACTTTCCACCAGGGCTGGCTGCTGTTCCACGCGTACTGTCGGCAGCTTACGCCAGAGATCTGTTTCCATTTCCTCTGCCTCTATGCCAGGCACAGTATACTTGTAATAAGGTTTCAAATTTCGGAAAAATAGCACTGATTCGGCAATGGCCACTGCAATGACTACAAAATAAAATAAAAAATGTGTGTGTTTGTATGTATGTACTAAGTTATTTTCCAGCATCAACTCTTCCAGTTAGAAGTAATCAACCCACTTGGCGTTTTTGGCTCCGATTCATCGTTGTAGAGACTTTGTATGGCAGCTGGTATGCCGTTGAGCTTCAATTCTGTATGCAGCGTAGTGCCACGAAATATTTTCAAGGTCGCTGTCGGTTCATCGTCTAATGAGATGTCTGCCGCAATGAGACGCACGTAATTGTCGCATTTAATGTCACACAGCGTCATGCAGCTGGTGACGGTGTTTAGACGCGGTCGCGGCTCGTCTTCATCCACGATGACCTGCAGCCATTTGGAGTTGACGGACATGATTTCGAGTAAAGTAAAAAAGAATTTTTGTAAATTTCTAAATGCTTTCGCGTGAAGTTAGACTATTGCACAGCTGATGCCGTTTTCTGCAGTTTATTTTGTTCATAAAATTATTTACACTTTGTTTTGGTACACATTTGTTTACCTTAGCAACGCAGGACTTTCAAGCGTGTGGCCATATTTTTTTAAATTTTTCATTGGTGTTAAAGGCCTTTACTCTTTTGGAAGTACTCATAATTCTAGCTCCTGTAGAACTACTTTTTGGTGTTTGCTTGTGAAGTGTGCATTGATGTTGTCACACAAATGCGGGGTTCTACAGTTTTAGGCTGTCCCCGAAAGGAAAATGGTTTCTTAGAAATTTTTTTTTAGGAAGAAATTTTTTTTATTGTCTAACCAGGTAACCAGGGCTGACTAAGACAACTTTTGGATGATGGTGGGACCAGGAATCGAACTTTGGTCCTGCTGCTGGTAATGCGCACTTCTAGTGGAAGCGAAGGACCGAAGTTGTCCGAAATGTACTTTCCGGAAAGATTACGTTTACAATAATATGTCCCAGGATTCTTGCTTAAAGTGAACTTTTGACAAATTACTTGTTAGGGAATTTTTCTCAATAGAGCTCAATGGTAAGGAATTTATGGGTTTTGTATTCTATATGCTATTCAAAAATAAAAATTGTAAAACAAAATATTAAGTTTTCTAGCTCAAAATCGTTCTCTTTCTACTTTCACGCGAATTATACTCATACGGTAGACCGGGGCGCTTCATAAAGCCCAGTCGGGAATAAAGTTACAGCAGATCTCTGCCTGGGTGAACGGGTATCTTCGCTCTCACTCGTAAGACAAATTGTGGATAAGACCGCACGACAATCATTAATTACAGGAAAAGTACCGGGGCGAGAAGCCCTAAGGCTAGGTTATCACACAAAAGCGGAATGAACTGAGAATCCGGTGATATCCAGAATGTAATAAGCTTTCCAGCCAGCGAACAGCAAGTATTGGATTGCTGCGGAAGAACACATGGCATGTAGAAGAACTGTGGTAAGACCAAGGACACTAAAGCCATTCACCACGTCATGCGTACCTTTTATCGTCTGGCTAGCTCACCGAACAGAGAAGATAAGGAGGACTTCGTAAAGCTGCAATATTCGAATTCAATAAGTCTTGATTTTGAAACGCCAACGAGCGGTAAGTTCTAAAGGCAACAGATCATTGGCGACAAAGGCATCAGTGGAACTGAGTCCAACCAACATTTCCAAATGTTGTATAAGCGTAAATAAGGACAATCCAAATCTGCCCTCATCATGTATAGACGCTGACCGGTAATGGACTATAGTAGATTCGTGGAGCTGTACAAGGCTGCGATCGATGAAATAACCAAAGTCAACTCAAGAGCTCATCTAAAAGTGGTTGAAGCCCGAGATATGCCATACAGACCCAGGGCGACAGCTTCGATACCGATCACTCCACTAAAGAAGTTATCACCTATGTTGAAATTTCAACTGACGCAAAAAATGCTTTGTGTACTTACTTAGCTTTAAGAGCAGCTTGGCTATCGCTGCAGTTACACAAAGTCCTACCTCCTGTTATTCACCACGTAGTCTATAAACTTCAGTACGAAAACTGTTTCTACCGAGATCAGTATTGTGTTTACCGAATCCAACGCAGAATTAGTCTTGCCAACAAGTGCTACTTTGGACTGAGTAGACAATTCAGGAGTAAAGTCCTCTCTCGACGTACGAAAACCCCACTCTATAAGTGACTCACCATGTCCGTGCTGGTATATGGCGGAGAAGAATGGACAATGAAAACATCCGCCGATAAGCCGGCTCTTGTAGTATTCGAGAGAAAGATTTTGCGGAAGATTTATGGGTCTTTACGCGTTGGAGAAGGCGAGTGCCGCAAACGGTGAAACGATAAGCAGTATGAGCTTTACAACGACATATGCAACGAGTTCAAATACAGCGGCTTCGCTGGATTGGCCTTGTCGTTCGAATGGACACCGATGCTGCAGCTCTGAAAGTATTCAAGTCGAAACCCACATTAAAGAAGGGCAGACCACATCATATGCATGGGCCTGGGTGTGGATATCAGTGGCGTTAACTCAAACAAGTAGCAATCAATTACCAAGCACCAGAGCAATGAAAAATTAAAGTGCCTAGAAGACAGGCATGGGTAACACTGTTCTGTGCGGCGCAATTGCGTTAACACCGTAGCCGGAGTTGCCGCGCCAACACCAATATATGAAAAGCGCTAGCGCCATTAACACCAAGAAACACATGAGACACACACACACATAATTCGCCTTAATTCTTTGAAAACTTAAACGCATTTGTTTTTGCTTTCGAGTGGTGAGAACACCAGAAACTTATGTACTTTGACAAATTTAAATATTTTACCCAAGAATGCTGAGAATATCGTGGCATTTACTACATTTTGCGCTGAGTAAGTGCGTTGACACCACAGGTGGCGCCGGCGTTATTGCGCTAGCGCCATAAAAATTGCACTATTACCCGTGGCTACTAGAAGAAAGCTCTTGTTAAAATGACACACCCAGCTAGAAAATCGATACATACATTGTATCTATCTAATTGGTAAGCAAAAAAAAACTATTCTGTTAAAAAAGTTATGAAAAATAGAAAGAATAACCCAAATCCAATCGTAACTTTATTATTCTAATGTTTATTATAAATGTAAGTTTTCTTTAACATCTCCCACGCACTTTCTTTTACTTTTCTGGGTAGCTGAAAAATCTTAAAAAGAATTCGCAGTTGCAAACTTTTTTTCCGTATTTTATGTTCAACATTTAGAAAGTGATACAAATTTGCACGTGCAGATATGTAAATTGACTTATTCAACGCCATCAGCGAGCATGAGCATCGAAAAACACGCCCATTAATCAGACAACTGCTAAAAGCAGAACGTGCTGTGCTCAATTTATATTTCGATTTAAAACAACAACTTACTCTACAATAAGTGTCCACATGAACCAATTTGACTTGAATATGGCATGCGAAGACCAATTACCGGCATTTTGACCAACTACTGAGTTGCTGGCTGGCTGGCTGGCTAGCAGGAACAGGTCTCCAATGGAATCAACTAATAAAGAAAAGCAAACAAAAAAAAAAATGCAAAAAGAAACCTGTAGTGACCATGACTCAGTAGATATGGGTATTTGGAAAGCAGTAGAAAATTTGAAGAGATGCAAAAAAGTGTAAAGATAAACAAAGTGTAGGAAGCTGTAGAGCTGCCAGAAATATCAAAACTGAAACAAACCGGTATCTGGAGGTGAAGAGTAGCTGAGGCTAGTTATGGGAAAAACCAAAATAAGTAAATACATTCAAATATATAAAAAATATTTTACTTAATTACACCAAAATGCAGCTAAAGAAATAAAAGAATACACAAATTTTGGAAATATTTTTCAGCCTCTAAAAAGGTGGCTCAGTTATTTGTGAACAGAAATGGCCCGAAAAAACTATAGTTGCGGTGAAGAGTGCCGAAAAAATGGCATTTTTTTAATGCGTAATTAAGCGCATACGTGTACTAGGGCTTTCGAATTAAATACCGCACTGCCTTGAAAGGCAATGAGTCAGGCGCCCACTTAGCATACATACAAACACACACCTGAAAGGAATTCTTGTGGTCAATTTTAACTTTGGCCAACAGCGTTGATGACCGGTTGATGGTTGCTGCGTTTGGCATTCAACTGGTACAGTGATGTGTGCCCCTGCAGGAAAAATACCATGCAATAAAAAAAAAACTATAGATAACACACTTATTAGGGTTTCTACCGGTTATTTTGATATGGGTGGTTTTTTTTGAAATCATGATTTTTCGAATATCGAATAAACTTTTTTTTTCATTTCATACAAATCTTGGCCTCTTAGTAAAAGTTTTGAGTTTTTGAAGTTTTCAAAATTATGTCCTACGTTATTTGGGGATGGACATATTTGATTCCAATAAATAAATGATTGGCGCTTAAACGTTTTCTACGTGTTTAGCCGAGATTCTCCTCTAATACGTGTTCTTCTTTTTGATGTGACACAAATGGAGATCTTCACTTTTACGCCTACACGCGGAGGTTTGCTATTGTCTGTCGAGGGGCGATCGTTATTTGAAAAAACATTTTTTGATGTTGCTAGGCCCGAAAATGGAGCCATGGACTTCCCAAGTGGCAAGAGATAACCTCTAAGCACTCGGCTACGGCAGCAAGAGGTCTGAAAAATGCAATAAAATATTTNTCCCAAGTGGCAAGAGATAACCTCTAAGCACTCGGCTACGGCAGCAAGAGTACTACTCAAATCCGAAAAAGGTCTGAAAAATGCAATAAAATATTAAAAAAAAACCAAATAAGACTAAACGTGATTTTTTTACTGATTTGTATTTTTTTTATTTTTGATATAAAAAAACTTTGTATTTGCACTAAGTGGTCGACGAGTGGCCTTCTGGATTGCAAGCACCTCCCTTAAATTTCTGGACATCAAACGACCTCGGTACGATTTTCCTGAAGGGTACCGTATTTTTTATCTCAAACAGTTATAGCCACAAACTCTTTGCACACGTGTAAATCTTAAAATCAGGCACGAGAAGAGTAAGCAACGAGCGGCAAGTTGAACCACGTCTAAATAATACATAATTGATTTGACTTAAGGTTTTTTCGCACCTTAAGTAGCAAATAAAGAAATTTTCTATATATCACTTACGACTATGGGCAATTATTCGCAGGCACCCCACATTTTGAATTTTCTTGTGGTTTATGCTTTTGTGCTGATATTTATTTATTTTTCTTATTTGCATATTCCACCATTTTGGGTGAGGTTTTGCAAATTACTTCAGTCGTTTAAAATAAACTCGCGTTAATGTATCTGACACAGTTTCAGAACTTGCTAATTTCTGTAAATAGTCTTTTGGCCTGTTTTATATATTTACTCAATTTTGGGACAAACATTGAAAATATAACGGGACTACTACAAATTAGGCGCCATTCATGTTCTTCTTCTA